GAGAGAGAGAGAGAGAGAGAGAGAGAAATCTAACTAACTACATGGCCCTCCCCCCCCACGATCAAGTGTAAAATTTGCTCTGATCTGTTTCATATCCGATACGTAGTCCGTCGAGACTTCAAAAAAAAAAAAAAAGCACTTGCGCGTGCTCGAGGGAGAGAGAGAGAGAGAGAACCCAATCTAACTAACTATGCGCCTCCCCCCCCTCACCCCTATATGATAAAGTGGAGCATATGCTTCTATCAGTTTCATATACGATCCTCCCGCCCACACGATCAAGCGTAGTATCTGCTCCGTTCAGTTTCATATTTGATCAGTGGTCCATGGAGACCTTTTTATTTTAAGAAAGAAAAAAAGCACGTGTGCGCTTGAGCGAGCGAGAGCGAGAGAGGTCCATCGAGATGGTTTAAATGTGCGCACACAAGCCGCGTCCGCGTGGGGGCTGAGAGAGAGAGAGAGAGAGAGAGAGAGAGAGAGAGAGAGAGAGAGAGAGAGAGAGAGAGAGAGAGAGATGGTTTAAATGTGCGTACACAAGGCGCATCCACGTAGGGGGGAGAGAGAGAGAGAGAGAGAGAGAGAGAGAGAGAGAGAGAGAACCCAAACTAGCCAACTACGCCCACACGATCAAGTGCACTCTCTGCTTCGATCAGATCTGTGGTTCACGAGACTGTTAACAAAAAGAAAGAAACAAGTGCACGCAAGACGCGGGAGAGAGATTAGAGAGTGAGAGAGAGGGAGAGAGAGAGTGCCCTCAATCTAATTAACTATATGCCAACCACCACCACCCCGATGATCAGGTGTAGTATCTGATCCGTGGTCCATCGAGACGGTTTACAGAAAAGAAAAAAAAAGCATCCACGCTAGATGCGCGAGAAAGTCTAGAGAGAGGGGGCCAGAGAGACTCCAATCTAACCAGCTACACGTGCCCCCTCCCCCTTCCATGGTCAAGTGTAGTATCTGCTCTGTTCAGTTTCATATGTGATCCGTTGTCGATCGAGATGTTTTTATGTTAGAAAAGGAAAAGAGAAGCACGCGCGCGCTCCAGCGAGCGGGCGAGAGAGGGGGGGAGAGAGAGAGGTCCGTCGAGATGGTTTAAACGCGTGCGTGGAAGATGCGGGAGAGAGAGAGAGAGAGAGAGAGAGAGAGAGAGAGAGAGAGAGAGAGAGAGAGAGAGATCCCAATCGAACTAACTACGTGGCCTCCCCTGCCCCCCCTGCCCCCCCTGAGGGGAGAGAGAGAGTGAGGTCCATCGAGATGGTTAAAACGCGTGCGTTCAAGATGCGGGAGAGAGAGAGAGAGAGA